GTTGTATGTGGGCATCCGATTGGATACCCGACGCCGGGTCAATTTTACGACCCGGCGGTGATGACCCGGTACCCGCTCGGGTACCGCCGGGTCACAAGGGCTCGGGTCGCATCCTTATCTGAAACACAAACTTGAAGTCATGAGACTTGGTCAGGTGGTGCATAATAGGTCCCAGAAAATGAATACAGTTGCGGATGGCAAAAACTGACCCTGGATTTTGAGGATGTCCGAATGGTCGAGCCAAAAATTCAGGTTTTTTTTGAAATTTTCAGCCTTTTGAGCTGTTTGTAGCCTCCAGATCGTAGAATAAATACACTACAGAATAGAAGATTAACAGTGAAAGTAGATGTCAAGGGTGTACAAGTAGTATAAAACCATGATTATTTATAACTTGAAGCCATAACTATGAGTTTAAGTATTGCTTAATCTGTGATTGTCCGATTATCTGTATGTGGAAATGAAAAAAAAAATTGAACCGCTCACTCAAAAGCTTATTGTTTACAATTTTGAACTCTACACATCTGTAGGAGTTCAAAATTGTAATAAAATTAAGTGTCAGGGCACATGCCCCCCCCCCCAGGTCATAGGCCCCGCTGTGGTGAGCCAAATCAAAACCTCAAGGGCTCAATTCACCACACAATCAGGACAAGAAAACCCCAAACACCTTGGTCCTCAGGCCAGACAGCAACCTCAAGGGCCCAGACCACACGTTGGAGGGAATCAAGTCACCCCTCAGACAGAGCCAGGGTATTAGGGACCCTCCTTGTTTCCTTTTGTTTCATTCATTCTATTTCTGGAGATGCTGCATATGCACTCCTCTTTCTCTTATCTCTCTGTTTCACACTAATGCACCCACTTGAGGATTAGTATCTTACCTCTATGCATGTGCCTGCATGTGCCTATGCGTGTTTCAGACTTATGTACCCATTTGGGTAAGCAGGCTTTGTCATTGTGTCCTCTTTGGTCTTAGCAGCCACCTTCTGGGCTGTTGTGTTTGAGTTTGATATTTTTCACTTGTTCCTTTTTCTCAAACCACAAGCTGGCCACTCCCCAGATTTTGAATATAAGGAGCCGTGTTTTCCCCTCATCAGTTGTTCCCTCATCAGTTCTCTGACGTGCTAAGCCTGGTCACATAGTTAGCTTATAGTCTTTAGTCATAGTCCTTAGTCATAGCCCTTAGAAAAAGTCCTCAGAAATATTATCACACCTTTTAGTCAGAAATAGTCTGCCACATCTTCATAGAGTATTTGAACTCTCCTTGTCTACTACCTTATCACTTTTTACCGGAGGGCAGCTTTATCCACAGCACTTTTCCCCTTCCACAGTCTATCTGATCCCACTGGGTAGTTCCACACCGCGTGTCCAATTTGGAGTTTGCGGGTGGGGCATGGTCGGTCTATGCCATACGCAACTGTATGAAAAAATAAAAACAAAAAATAAAGTTTCAAAATTTTTGAAAAATAAGAATAAGATTGATGTTTTTCAAAAGCTTTGATATTCATTTTGGGGGAGTGGGAGTGCTGAGAGAAAGAGAGAAAGAAAGAATGGAACATGGGAAGAATGATTATGAATGAAAAAAAAAAAATTGGAACCAAAAAAGGTTTGGCCAGGTTGGTTGTCCAGATTCAAGCCAAAACAGTAAATTCTCGTGCTTTACTGCAATGAGGGTTGATGAATGCCCCACTCAACAGCTGTTGGAAGCCATCTGGATACAATTTTTCCAAACAAATTCATTAATAATCATTCTGCTTCTAGCAAGGGCAGCTTGCTTGTGGAGCCTGGATGAAAGGGAAGGGAGTATGTGATACTCTGTGTTTAGTCTTACTTAAGGAGTTAGTGACTGTAAGTAATGTGTGTTTGTAAGATTTTATGGATTCCAGGAAGCATGAGAAAAGAGACAAATAAAAGCAAACATGATATTGTTTTATATACAAGTTATCATTGGTTGAAGATGATACAGTTAGACAGGAAAACATTCATAGGATAAATGAAATGAGCAGGGAACAATCTTGAGCTTGAGACAGAAAGAAAAATAGGGATAAAGAGACTGAGTATTCCATTGAATGTTTACTGTTTCAACTTGAGGGGTCTCAGTAATGATAGGTTGAGTACAATGAGTATTGAGGTGAAGCAAATACTTGGAATTGTGCTGAGTATGTAATCACATTGTAGTTGTGACACTTCTCATGTCTCAATCTTTCTGTCTCTCAGCACTCTCATTCCCCAAAATGAATGTCAAAGATTTTGAGAAAAACAAATTTTATTTTTCATTTTTCACAAATTTTGGAACCCTGTTTTTATTTAATTTATTTGTATTTTCATTTTATTTTCATATTCATTTTTAGTACCTATTCTGTGCACCACTTGACCAAGTCTGATGACTTCAAGTTTGTGTTTCAGAGCTCCAGAATCCAAAATAAGCAGCCACTTTTCACTGGCTACCCATTGTACAACCCTGAACTCATCATCAACCACTAAAAATTGACCCCCTTTTCCCTCATCCAAACATCAAATCCAAAAAAAAGTGGATGACTTGCTGCCAAGATCTTCAGTTCTCCCAGAAGCAATTTAGAGGCTCAAAAGCTAGATTCTCCAGCAAAAATCTAGAATTTTCCAGTCTACATCAACAACTTCAAGGGTCCCAGATTTGATGGGAAGTCCTCCAGCATATTCAAAGTCTTCATTCTGCCTTTCTGATCTTATAATCATCCTATTTTCCATCCCCATCCCTGTTTATCTCTTCCCTTTCAAACTCTTTCAAAAATGAATGTGATGCGGATATTAGTAATTAAAATGGGACTTGATTAAACGACTCCCAAAAATGGGAGCTCTGACTCCCATTTTTGGGAGTTGTCAAGAGGACTGTGGGAGGACCATAGAGGGACGTCCTGGCCCCCTAATTTCCGGTCCCCCTAGCATGTGGAAGTCGCTCCTCCCATTCACACTGAGGGAATGGGGGTCGGATCTCAAAAAAAATACAAAAAAGTATAAAACCCCCGGAAGGGTTGGCAGTAAATGGGCCAAACCTTCCGGGGGGATGGCAGTCAGCCCTTCCAACAACCCTTGACGGCTGGAAGGAAACCTCCTGGCCATTGTGGAACTCCTATTGTGCCAGGGGGTAGGCAGTTGATTGAAGGGATAGTGCTTTGAGGGCTGCCTTCAAGTGGGGTCTGGATGAGTGAGCTGTGATCTGAACAAACCTTGCTGGGGTTGGTTGGTTTTCTGAGAGGGGTTGTTGAGTTTGAGTGAACTTGAGGATATGTATGAGGATCAGAAGTATCAATAATAAAAAGATCAATAAGATTTGATGGGTCTATCTTGGATCGGACCAGAGTGCCATGCTTCCCCATCATCTCAGTTCAAACTGAACTTTGACACAAAACAAAACAAAACAAAACAAAACAAAACAAAACAAAACAAAACAAAACAAAACAAAACAAAACAAAACAAAGCAAAACAAAACAAAACAAAACAAACCAAACCAAAGCAAACAAAACAAAACAAAACCGAACAAAAGCAAACAAAACAAAACTAACTAAATCTATCCAAACCATACCACAACAACACATATCAAACAAAAGCAAACTAAACAAACAAAACAAAACAAAGCAAACCAAACCAAATCACACCCAAACCAATCCAACCAAACCAAACTAAACAAAACAATCAAGAGTGAAATAAACCAACATACTAAGATATATAGGTACTGAACAGCCAATTTTTGCCAAAA